GCCCGAACCCACGACTAACTAACTACTAGTGTTCGGTGGTTTTATCCACTCCGCTACTGGAGGGCACTTATTAAAATTAAGAAAGTACCGTTCAGATATAAAAAAAAAACAGATCGTCAGATGTGGAAAATTAAATACTTATAGATTTTTCACAGGGTAACACTTTCGATTGCACGCAGGCAAATGCTACCTATCACAGTAATTATATAGCGTTTATTTCGCGCTATATCATTGTTGCAGTCATTAAATGAATAAAATATATATATTGTATAATTATGTCCTTTTTATAAGAATTATATCTAGTTTATTATTTTGTTAAAGTTTTTGCCAATGGATGGCGCTATGTGTAAATCAGCAAATCTAATGAAGATACAAATTACAGTAATTGATTTACGGAAATCCAATAGATATTTTGGGTTGACCGACATTATCTAAGTTAGCGGTATATAAACGTAACTGCCATGTTTTGTAGCAATTGATCGAAAGGCCTAGGAATGTATAGCGAACAAACAAACATTCTCATTTATGTATATAGCAGGGGTGGGTAAGCGATAGTTCAGTGGGAGCCAAAATGTAGGTTTTGCAAAATGCATGGGAGCCGTAGTTCTGCACTTTTTTATTCTGTATCGCGGTTCTGTATCACAATTTTATTATACAGTAGTACCCCGAACTTACGTGTTAGGTGGGACCGAGCGATAACCGCGTAAGTCGGGGTATAATTTCACAATTTGTGTAAAATCCAAGTTGGATGTATGTAAGCTAATAAGTGTTCTCGTTAATCTTATTTCGTCTTTTGATTCGTTCACGGTTACAAGAAATCACCACATAGAGTCTCTGAAGTCTCCGTAGATATAACACAGAATTAAATAACACAAAATAAATTATAGCTGTGCGTCGATTCCGCGCGAGACGTCCGAACATGTAAGCCGAACAATAGTATGGGGGGAGTGAGTAATCAAGAGTTGCGTGGCACTCAAACAAAAGACGAATCGACGAGATTTGAAAATCGCGTAACTCTGGGTTCGCTAAGTCGGGGTAGCGTAAGTCGAGGTATTACTGTATAATATAAATATAATATAAAACAAATATTGATTTTTTTTAATAAACATATTTTCACAAAATCGTGGAAATAAAATTGTAAAAATAATAATAAAAAGCAGAAATTAACACTTTCAGCAAGAGCCGCATGTAACTCAATAAGAGCCCCATTTGCCCATGTCTGGTATATAGATTTATAAAATTAATGGTTAGATAATTTAATAAACTTTTTCATTATTTAAGATCATTTGGTCATTGCTAATAACATTGCATGTATATTCTAAGACATTAAAACCAATAATGCTGTAATATTCATAATTGTTTGACAATGTATATGTTATGGACCGTGTGCCCAGCCATTGTGAATAATGACTAAAATGGCTGTGCAGCCTGATAAATATTTACTAAGTTATTAAATTGATTGGACATTATCAATACAGCTACATTCTCTTTGGGAAATTTGATTTTTTTTTAAATCTCCACTTTTTTCATTGAGAATTTCTGTGTGTAATTTTTTCAATGTACAGGTAACTTCCGTATAACACGGCACTTCTATAGCACGGATTCACTCTAACACGGTTCGAGAATTGGTACCATCCCCCGTATAAAACGGTACTTTTATAGCACGGATTCACTCTGACACGATTCGAGAATTGGGTAAAACCCTCATACAACAGGAAATGTAATAAATTTTTACATACTTAAGTAATAATAGTTCACGAAAATTATTATTTTCGTGAACTATTAGTACTTAAGTATGTAAATTTTCTCTTCTCGCCTTCTGTCGANATTATAGATGAGATTACAAGTGCAAAATGTGGAATTTACGATCTTGCGTGGATAAAAATGTATGATTTTTTCTAGAATTCAGAACAGTTTTAACCATTATGCAGACCCTGGAATTGGGAGATGGCATCTCGACAAGTTTAAAAGAAAATAAAACTAATACTCTTTTACAAATTATCCAAAAATATGGTTATGTACTGAGATCTAGTACCTAATGTGACAGGATCAGGATGTCGGCTGTAGTGAGATGAAAGACAAAGTGCCGGAGGGACCCCGAAATAACTGAAAGCCACGAGTTAATATGGCTCTGCAGAAACTACTTAAATTCCGACGTTTCGTTCATAAGAGAACTTAACACGTAACGCACAACATTATGATTCTTCATCATTAGAAGAATTGCGAATAAATAACTCTTTGCGATTCGCCTTAAAAATATTCAAAGTTTAGTTCGTTAGAATACGCTCGTAATATGCATTTAAAGAGACGTCAGCGCCAAATTTCACTAATTACAGATGATATAAGGTCATAAATCGCTTTGTCATCACAATATTTAGCAGAATCCTCTAGGTTGTCTTCCGCCATGTTTGAGAAGCGAAGCAGTTCTTGACCAACCATGCATTTTGCTTTTCAAGTCTTTTTCAATAGCTTTATAGAGTTTCCATTTTCTTTAATAGTAGCGTGTTAATGAAAAATGTCCTCTTATAATATTTCGGTGGAGACGATACTTAAATTAGAAATGCCGTGTGTGTTACGCGAAAAATGTATATACGAATTTTCACTCTACGCTGCTACATAAAAAACTTTGTATAAGATTTTAGTACTTAGATGTAAGGAATAGAGTAAGGGTTGAAAGAAATAGTGAAAGAATGAAGTCGACGGTTATAATATTTGCATGATTTGGCCACGAAAATGAAAATATAAATAAATATATTTGTGAAATAGAAGAACCAATTTAGTCTTTTTATTGTGGTTAAGCAATTGTTATCATTGTTACGATGTACATTGTCGTTTGCATTGTTGAAGGTTAAATGACGATTTTTACAATAAAAATGGGGATTTTAGGGGGTTGGAAAGGGGTTACGTCGTTGTCGACCAAATAAACTGGTTGACAATTGCGAGAAGCGTGTGTATGTGTAAAAAAAAAAAAATTTGACCGTCGGACTAGAACACAGTCCGGTGCATCGTTTGTGTGTTTATATCTATTTTTGGTTTATTTGTGGTCGAAGGGGTTCTTCCAACGGGACAGTGGGCCCCAGAAGAATTTGTCAGAAAAAAGAGAATCTGGTAAATTAAACCAATTTTAAGTAATGAAATGAACTAGAGATGTCATTCATGTCATTCATCGGTTGTTGAAGTGGTTATTCATAATGCTGAGCATTATGATTAATGCCGTAGTAATCACTTAGTCCATAACATATACATCAATTTCTGTTAAGTTTGCCTAGAAATGGGCCAACTTATCAGAAGTCGATTGATGTAGAGTCGCTGACATTTCACCCGTCCTCATTGTTTCGGGGCCATTTCTAGATAAATGTTTTTCTTTCAGAGTTAAATAAGACCTATAACCAGAGCAGGTTAACAATAGAACACGAAGTACACATGCACGCGGGGACATTGTCAAAATGGAGGCTCGAAAACGAAAAGGAAAAAGGCACACGCACGCATACACACACTATATATGTCCAGGGTGGCCAAGCTCCTTGATAGTCCGAGCCATTTTTCAAAATTTGAAATTTTTCGCGAGCCGCAATTAAATACGTATTAAAAAGGTATGCAAAAAATTCCAGAATACAAATTATATCCGTAGCAAGAGTGATACAAATTGTTTCCTCCAGAGCACAATGTCAACTGTCCGTTGCAATGACAGTTTACAAATTCAAAATCGGTCTGGAGTCGGTCGATAACGGACGATTACGCCACTGTTTATGTTCGTTCGCGCTGTTTTCGATGAGTCATATCATTCTTAACTTGGACAGAAATGAAATTTGTTACAACGTTGCACTTAGTCTTTCATATTTGTTGTTAGTAATTTAAAAGACATTTTTGAAATACATACGGAACGATAATAATTTTTTAAAATATAATAACACAAAAATGAAAAGGGAACTCGGGTACATCTATCGAGAGCCACAAAAAATCCTTCAAAGAGCCGCATGTGGCTCGCGAGCCGCAGGTTGGCCACCCCTGATATATGTATATAATATAAATAAGCGATAAATATAATAAATATATACGGGAAGTGAGGTGGAGCGTGCGTTAAATTTCATGCACGGGCATTTTCTCTCAATCTGGCTCTACTTATATTATAAATGTATGAAAATCTTAAACAGTAGAAACAAATAAAAATTTCGATTTCATTCGAATTTTCAGCACTTTAAATGTGAAAATTCAAATACAGTACTCCTCATTTGATAGTCGAGCCAAGCATATAATAAAATGCACGTTTTGCAAATTATACCCGATAGATGGCGACACGCTATTAGTTCCATCTTTATTTAAAATTTAACTATTTTAAAATAAACTATTTTACGTTTAGTTATTAATTTTTACATTAAAATGTTAAATGTAATCACATTTTAATATTTTAATCTATTTTTGTCTTTTGAATAATTCTCTATCTGAGTATAAACACCGCGTTCATTAACACAGGATTAGTCAGAAAATTCAAATTCGAAACTGTTGCGAAACGAGGGGGCAATAACTTTTATTTAAATATAACAGCCTTAATAATAATCATTTTTAGAATTTAAATTAAATGATTATTATTAGTAGCAGTAATAATAATTGATTGATAATACAAAATAATTACGTATACATCTATATATAAATTTATAACGCGTTCATAAATTAACCAATAAAATTACATATTAAAAGATTTTTTTAACGCTTCCGGCTACAATTGTGTCATTTTAATGGTTAGATAATATCAGATAAGCGACGCAAACATTAATTTTCTATAATTAATTAATATTTCCGATCCGAGCAAACTATTGTTCGGGTAATTAATAATTTTAAAAAAAGAAAAAGAAAAGATGGCGCCGCGAAATCCATTCATTCATAAAATATCTAAAATAATAATAATAAATTTATATTAATAAATTCAATTGAAGGTAAAATAAAATTAAACGAAACATTATTTAAGATTGCATAATATAAAGCAAAGTTTTTGCCGCTACCTTAATAGAGATGGCGCCATGAAGTGAGAGTGAGGTCATCGGTGGCGTCACAATCGGTGGTTTCGTCCAGTAGAGTTAATGGGTTGGATTTTGTAAAGGAAGTATCCAATGCGGAAATATTAAATGTGTATAAACTGTAATTAATTCAAGTAATGGCCATAATATGATGAAAAGAGTGAGAATGTTCCAGATGAAGATGGCGAGCGGTGGAAGGAATAAACAACGAGATTCCAGGAAAGATGGAGGCGATGCAAATGGCGACTGCCTCTCGGAGGATTCGGACGCTGTCAGCAAGGGCAAGAGTAAAAATGGCATACTTAAGTCGCTCAGGTGGAGGTGGAGAAGGAGTAAAAGGGTTAAGCGCGTCGATAATCATCTTCAGAACAATAGCCATCACGTTGATGACGATAGGATGCTTGCTAGTAAAAAATTTCGATTTAGACCCAGTAACGCCAACGGTGGGAGCGTCGTCCGTCCGGTCAACTGTCCGGTGGTGTCCGTCGAAGCTCGGCCGGTGCCAGAACCCGCACGTGCGGTGGAGTTTCCCCGCCGCCACAATGGGACAGCAGCCGTCCTGGGCCCTCGTGCCGATGGCGATGACGGATGTGACTACTGCGGATCCGGCCCCCTGACCGCCAGAGGGGCCGAATCTGACGAGAAACTGTTTGGCGGCGGGGAGACGTGCGAGACTGAGACCGGCGGCACTCCGGCACTGGTGCCTTCCTCTTCAAAAGCTCTCGCCATCGTCGACTGTCACGAACCGCCCCGGGTGGGGAGCCTGACACAGGAACTGTTCAAGTTGTCCAAGTGTGGCTGGTACTGGGGTCCCATCACCCGGAGTGAGGCCGAGGAGAAGTTGCTGGAGCAGAGCGACGGGGCGTTCCTGGTTCGCGACAGTTCGGACGACCGTTACCTACTCAGTTTGAGTTTCCGTTCCTTCGGCAAGACACTGCACACGCGCATCGAACATTGCAACGGCCTCTTCAGCTTCTATGCCCAGCCCGAGCTGGAGGGCCACACGTCCATCGTCAGACTCATCGAACAGTCAATGAACTACTCGCAGTCCGGCGTGTTCTGTTACTCTAGAAGTCGGTCTCCGGGTTCTCCTTCCTATCCGGTCCGACTGACCAAGCCGGTTTCGCGTTTCACTCAAGTGCGATCGTTGCAGTATCTGTGTCGATTCGTCATCAGACAGCACACCCGTTTCGACCATATTCAGAAGCTTCCGCTGCCGTCTCGCATCAAAGGCTATTTAGAAGAAGGACATTATTAATTTTTAAGTAAAATATTTAATATTCTTAATCTCTGTTGCTCAATTTAATATTTCTACTTGTTATTTTCTTTGTCTTGTTCCTATATACTTATACAAAAAAACTATATATATATTCTGCTTCTAATACTCTCTACGTATCTTAAAGATATGCTACTTTTTATTTTAAGCAAGTATTTATTGCATAGCTCTATTCTTAATATGTTTTTAGCCTTTCGTCGAGTCTATACTTTTTGCCATTCTGTAAGAATGTCTAAAACTCGTGTTCGAAAACATTATTTTGCAAATTGTAAAAAAAAATGTTTATAGACTGTAAAATAATTTTGTACATTTGTTTCATTTGTGAAAATTTTAGTGAATGAGACTGAAAGTTATTTTAGAAACATTTTGCAAACAAACAAAAAAAAAACAAAATCGTAGTTTTGTTTTTATATAGAAAAATTAGTGTCAAATTGGAAGACTGTACATAAAAATTTACAAATTGTTTTCGATTTTGCTATCGTTCAGTTATCCAACGATGAATTTTAACGTATTGCATTCACGAATCTGCTGAGTTTGTTAATGGAAGAGTATGATGCTAGGAAATTTTATTTTTTATTGTAAAATAATTTTTGGTAGTTTCATTTGGTAATGCAGCAAATGAAAAAAAACTGCATCCTCAAAATAAATTTAAATGAATAGCTAAAATTTGAGTTGTCATTATTAATAGATAATTTTTCTTTTCTTTTAAATTTAGGAAATTAAAAACAATAGTGCAAAATTAATTTTAAAATAGTACACGTTAGGATTAAGTTTTACCGTAATGTATGGAGACGAAGATAAGTGCACTTAAATTTATGCAATAATCTCTTTCTGTGGTATGATGCATTAAAGATGTTAAAAAATCGATTATTTCCGAAGCCAATTTCTCTAATTATGTATTTGCTTCGATGCAACGCCCATCCAATTGAATATGGCAATCGATAAGGTTCATGAGTTGACAAAGTTTAGTGCTAAGATATAACCAAATGATTATAGTGATTTCAGATTCAATAAAATGCCATTTGGCTATATCTTGCCTTACAATGATTTTTATGCATATAAAAATCATTTAAATAGATTCACAGTTGCATATTTACTACTAATTCTCCGTGTTTTTAAAATATAGTAACTAAAATAGTATCAATTTCGGAAGAAACTGAGACTAAAGTAATTCTACTTATCTATGCTTAACTTTTACAAGCTCATTTTATATTTGTGTGGCTTTCCGAATGTAATAAAAGCCATGGCTAAATAAATGGCATTTCATACTCCCAAAAAATTATTGTACAAAATATAAACTTTGAAGTCAAACTCTTTAATCGACTGGTGTGTTTTATTGAGAGAAGTTTAATGTTTGATCTCTTCCTTGCCCGACTTTTATAGCTTTGCATAGCTTAACTACATTATAAAAATAACAAGCAAACCACTTTCAACCTATTTTTGGACTAAATTATGATTAATTAAATTATCCTTAATATTTTAGCAATTTATTTGGGGCTTTGATTATATATAACATATGAACAAATTACAACAGCGATCTTGTATTTTTTAAAAAGACACGCTGTAGGATTAAGAAATTATTAAAGTTCTGCTTTACAAATTGTTTTTGTAATTATTTCAATTATTATTGTATGTCGGAGCTGATAAAGGAGGAGATCGAACTCTTGCAACTTCGGATACTTAATTCTAATAATATATAATGATAAAGACAATCTCTCTTTAATAATTGGATTGAACCGGATGCTTTTAGATCTAAAAAGCTATCCAGTTAAGATTGTAGCATATAAAAAAAATTCTACATTTATCCAAATTTATACTTAACAACTTCATCGAAATATTGTCTGTAACGAATAACATTCATTGTTACATTACCAGACAAAATATTGATCAAATCTCTTACTCCTTCCACAAATATACTGTTTTTTAACTACTATGCTGGCTGTAATATATTTGTAAATTGCTAAATGTGCATGCTTGTTACTGGACCAAGTCTTCGAGGCACAATTTTTTTGAACAATCAAAAAGTAAAATCTGCATTAACAAGCTCCGATCCGACGTACTTGCATGAATATGACGTAAGATAAATTTGTTATTTTATGCAGTCTGTTCAATATATATATATAAGGATTTTACTAAATATTAAGTACAAAAAAATGTAATTTGTATGATGATGGCACTTTTTGAATAAATAAATTTTATAACATTGATTCTCAAAACTTCCATGTATAAGCTTTATTCTTAAAAATAAACTCTTTAAATAAATGTATAGATTCATTGAATCTTCTAAAAATATTTCAGCTATGTCCTAAAATTATAATTTTTTCAATAAAAATTTAAATTGACTGTAATTAATGACGACATTTAACCTATTTAATATTATTTTTCTTACATTTTTTTAAAAATTCTTTTTAATTCTAGTTTCTTTAAATAATTAAAGTGTAACACTTATTTTTTAATTGAAATAAAAAATAACCTTTAAAATATTATTTACTAAATAAGTAAATTACCAGGAAATTGTTTCAAGTACTTAATACTAATTTTAATAAAAGGATATAAAGTATTTTTAATTTAATCGCCAGCCTGAATCCATCTAGTTAAGAGTTTATTCTAATGAGGTTTAATTTGCATAATGCTAAATCTATTTTCAGATTAACAAAATTGAAGTAAATTTTCAAAGTTTATATAAACAAAATCATTTTAATGACCTCTAATTTTAGTAAAGTGAATATTTTTATTATTTGGAAATCTTCCTGTTATTTATTTAGAAAATTAATATGAGTACTTTAAATTTTACTTCAGTCTTTGAAGAACTTTATATTTATTTCATCATTTTTTTTTATCCAAAACAAACTGTGCTTCTGTTAAAATTAAGACTTCAAGGGAATCAGATTTCTCAGAATGAACACTAATGGCAGACAAGATACCTTATTCTAACTTTATAATGACAACATAGTTCATCATTAAAAGATTTTTTTAAAAAACTTTCCTGTAAATGTATTTTTTTTTTAATCTGTACAGTTTATAATTTATGACAAAATTAAAGTCTTAATTTATGTAAGATCTAAAGAATGTTTGAAGTTCAAGATATCAGCTGTAAAAAATGTATGGTAAGATATTTAAAATCATTATAATTTTATATATTCAGTATTTTAATCTATAAGTTTAATATCTATCTAGTAGTATATTAAAATGTAATAATATATAAACTTAACCAACACCTTAATATTCGCTGAGAAATTATTTTTATTAAACAAACGCTTTCGATCTATTCAATAGATCATCTTCAGGTTTAAATAGAATATTGCTTAAATAGAACAAGAACGGCTGAAAAGATAGAAATTTACAGAAGCAAGCTTAAAGAAAAATGCATTAACACAAGGGACGCGGAGGGTCTTCCNATAGGCAAGGAGAAAACCCGGAAAACTCCAAGCACTGTCTATCTTATCTAGACAGACTTTCCTTTAAAACATTCTAGGGTTCGTGCGCCTCTTGTAAGTTTATAACTGCATATTTCCAAGCCATAGAAAGACCCTCCGCGTCCCTTGCGTTAATGCATTTTTCTTTAAGCTTGCTTCTGTAAATTTCTATCTTTTCAGCCGTTCTTGTTCTATTTAAGCAATATTCTATTTAAACCTGAAGATGATCTATTGAATAGATCGAAAGCGTTTGTTTAATAAAAATAATTTCTCAGCGAATATTAAGGTGTTGGTTAAGTTTGTATTTTCTTCTGCTGAGTACGTGAATGGTTTATAATATATATTTTTTATTTATAGATTTATAATATATAAATAAGCATAAGATTTAAGATGATAAATCTAATCTTGAACATTATTTTTTTGTAATTGATTTTTTGTAAGCATTTGATATAACCAATATCAGAAAAAATGGAAGCAGTCGAGGAGGTTTTGCCTGGTATTAGGAGACAGTAGATTGATAATAATGACATATCAGTGCAATTTATAGTAATTAAACTTTTTTTAATGAAAAGTTTCAATATTTTAAATATTATACAAAAAATGATTAAAGTATTTTAGTTTATAAGAAAGCCTGCCTTATGCAAAATACTTTCAACCAATACAATTATATTTAGGAGAATTTGATATAAAGATGCACCAATTCTTAGTGATCAATTGAAAATGACAATGGTCATCCATCCTATGTTATAGCTGTTCTTAATTAGAATCTGTTCCTGAAGGAGACTAGAGTGGCACCAAAGAAACATCCCACACTCAATAAAGTCCAAATTTGTACACTCAACCGTATAATTAGACCCTATAAGAATAGCTGTAATGACTCAATTAGAAGCTGATACATTATTAGTAAATTTAACTAGAGATGGGAGTGGATAGCATTTAAAGATCATAAAGAGAAAAGTTGATCAGACATTATTGCTTTAATTAATATTGGTCAGTAGTAGTGTACTATTACAAACTTTTACCATCAATAATAATATAAGGATGGAATTAAACAATGAGTACTATGTCACTCAAAAAATATTTTTTTTTTTTTTTTTGAGTGACCATCCTATCCCTGCAGCTATTCTCTTAATGTTTAAGACAGAATTTGTTAATCAGAACAGTAATGTAAAAAAAAAACAGTTTGCTGCTTGACAAATTTGAAAATTTTTATTAAACTCCGATGCCAGATGTTCTATTTAAAACTGGATAATCTAGTGTTTTTACATCTGCAGCTTGTTTTTTTTCTAATGAGTGTTCATGTATGTCCACCATTTTTATGGTAACCATCTGTCAAACCTATTTATAACATCATTAGGTATTTCCCAACTTATATAATTACCTGTCAAGAGTAATTGTGTTTGTTCAGCTATAAAAGACGATCAAATATCAAAAATTTGCAACAATTATGATCAATATTTATGTCAATCTTAAATATTTTAATCATTATTTATAATTCTTATAGACAGAAATTTTAATTAGGTGGTTTCAGCTATTTTACATTTTTTAATTATATAATTTTTCATTAATTCTGACAAATAAAGAAAATAGAACTGATTAATGTCTGTGTTTAAATCTCAAAAAATCTTCAAAGTTATAAATCTTCTATTTCTTAATTTTTATTTGGTATTATAAATTGCAGGATATAAAAAGTTTGTATGGTAATCAACTGGGAATATCATGGTTTATAATCATTGTTTATGTATATTATTACATATTCAAAAGTAACAAAGTTTTAAGCAGAATCATTTAAATAAACGTTTTATAATCTTGCTCGTCACAGAAGCAACACTATAAACTTGCCACTTTTAAATGGTTTAGGTTCTAAGAAAATATTTTAAAGAATTTCTTGTGATATTAACTTGTTTTGTATAATTTAAATCTTTATCTATTGAAATTTCAAAAAATTTTTAGATTAATTATGGTGAATTAGCAGTAAATAGAAAATAATTCCAAATTTATATCCAAATATTAAGAAGTTTATCATATATTATAGAGTGAGATGATATATGGTGCCTAGTTATAATATAAAAAGAAGTTTTAATATATGCAACAATAGTATTTTTAATTCAAAAATATTAATGTAAACAAATTTCTGTTTGCATAGAACAGATTATTAAAAAATTACGAGACATTTTCAAATCAGGTATTTTTACATAAGCATAAATATTCACCTCACAATGCCTGATTATAAATAGCACACTTGTAATATAAAATAATAATTATTTGATTTTATAATACTAAAAAAAATTATTTTGAGAATATTTTGTTATATTCAAACAAAGGTTTGATATGGAAAACTAAAGCTATATATTTACTATCACATTACAAATGCAATTTTACAGCAAGACACAATGTGCAATTCACTGTATAATGACTTAAAAATCACTATATTATGCAATATGGTGATTTTTAAGTGTCATTCTTAAAATTTTCATTTTTATCATATTACATAAACTTTCACTTTGTGCAAAATAATTTCAGCAATTTTTAGAGAGAGAATTTCTTCCAGTAAAAATAACTGGAATATTTGTTATAATTAAAATCAAAATATTTGTAATAAACTGAATAAAATACAACTGAATAAATGAGAAAATTGTGAAAGTGATGTTTGCTACTTCAACAACAAATCAATTGCATCAGAAGTTATTAGTTAAACCAGTATAATTCTTATGATTTCACCAGTTTTACTGCATTTCTCTGTAACATTTTTATTAATAGTAGTATTATGTAAAATGACTGCAAAATTTCAATACATAAGAATGTATCTTAGATCTCCAGTTACACCAGTATAACAATCATCATCAAATACAGAAGATGGAGTGGATGCAGATCCAAATATATTATGTTCTGAAAAGTTCCAAACTTAACAGGTGAAAATCCAGGTGGGAGCATTGTGAAAGGAAAAATTTTTCAACTCCATTTTACAACAGTCAAAGATCTGAAAGTATAAGTGACTACTTTAATATCTTCCAATTGTTGGAATGGAAGAAAGTGGAGGAAACATTAAAATTTGTGCAGAGAATGGGAGTAAATAGCATGAATGGTTGCATATATGTGCAAGCGTGTTAGGCTCTATTCCAATATAACTTTTAAAATCTAACAATAACAAAAAAACATTAAAATATTCTGTAACAATTTATAAACTGTTATTTTAAAACGTAAATTTAAAATAAGATGCTGAATTAAAAAAAGACTAACAGAAATGAAATTTTTACAATAAAAACACTTTATTTTCATTATATCAAAAATAAAGTCAAATGTATGTTACAGTTTTTAACACTTCATTATTCATGTAATTTAAGTACAGGATTTTAAAAAATTTATACATTGTCTTTTTATTTTGAATTACATAAAATATTTTTATATTAAATAATTAATAGTATGAAACTCAAGGAAGACTTACATATCAAAGACAAAAGTGCTATTTTAATTGACTTTTCTGAACTATTTTTGGAGTTTAACATGCTATTATATGTATTATTTTATGCTAAATGCAAGTTTCTATTGTATCTTTGAAAAGATTTTTCCTGTTTTCATACATTTTTTAAAACTTTTTATTTATTCTTTAAATACTAATATAACTTTTTATACACCATAAATAAATAAATAAGCAGACTATAGATTATTACAAATTTTTCTTAATAATTATTTCATTATTTCTCCCTGCTATTTTAAATAATTCTACAGTAATAATGTAATCATTGAATTTAAATCATTTTTCAGTATTAAAATTAGAAAGATAGCAGAAATAAATAAAAATCAAGAAAAAATGTTTAAATAGAAATAATCATTTACAAAGGTAAATCTTTGGGAGATTCTTTCAAGATAAATCATCTTGCTAGAATAAATAAAAGCAGTTATAAAGTGTGGAAAGTAAAGAAAACACTTAAATCAAAAAATTATAAAGCAGTTTTTTTTTGATAGAACATCAAAAATTAGATTTAAATGTCATAACTTGAAATGAAATGTTTACAAATTACTTTTAAATGTCGAAACTTCCATTGAAAATCTAGACGGAGGAAAAGTATTTACTTTATACTCTCGCTTCTTTTACTTGGCTTTTTAATAGTTTTCCAACTTTTGAATGATAACTCAAACAAGATGTTTGTTGCATATAAATTTTGACATTAAACATAGTTTTTGAAGTTCAAATAAAATTGGTCTTATAATTTCTTAGTTTTAATGTTTTCAGATATGTAGAATAGTTGGAAGAAAATAGAACAGAAAAACTGTTTCAAGTCCAAAATTAAATATGAAGAGATAAAGAGAAAAATCAAATGTATTATTTTTGTTTCATATAGTATACATGGTTTCTCAAAAATGTGGAAAATGAATCCCTATTATTTTTAGAATGCAGAAAAATTGGATTTGACTATTAAAAGGTAACTAAATGAAATTACAAAAATCAATAAACAATGCTAAACAAGAAAAATTCAAACTTAATGATATACATCATCATAACATGAATACATATTTAAAGGAAATTATGAGAATGCATGAAAGAAACAAGGAACAATATTGGGTATAGTAGTTTTCAAATGCAATATTCCTGGTATACAAAGTGATTTGAAGAAATCATGCAAGAGATATTGAATTGAGATATATATGAAGAATATAGATGTATTAGAAGAATAATGAATCTAAGAATAAAAATAGATGATAAAGGATGATAATTGTTAGTGTTTTTGTTAAACTAGCATCATTTTCTGTAAGGAAGCATAATTCATTCATTTTGAACTAAGAATGATGATTGAAGATTTATATTTATTAAAGGAGCATTTTATGGGTCCAAGATTCAGAAATTAAAACAAGAGTAATTGAATCTATTGTAGACTCACTACAATATTTATCAAAGTGAAATACCCAATCTTAAGGCATGTTCGTTGTCTTAAAATTACGTACAATTTGACATAATTTTTATATTTAATCATTGCAAAAATATAATTAATAATCTATCAATTTAATGATATGTCAGAAAAGTATAGAGACAATTATTATCATTCATCAATGGAAAGATTCACCAATAAATTGAATAACAAGTGTCATTTACTCAGTATCTACTGAGTAAATAATAATTGTAAAAGTATTACATTTAAAATCATGAATTATATTACACTTAAATGAAGTTAAAACTTTTCTCATTACATTGAATATACAGGGTGTCCAAAAAGTTATTGTGCAGCAAGAAATTTGTAATGACATTAATCATTACAAATTTTTTACTGTGCAGTAACTTTTCAGACATCATGTATAACTTCATACAGATATTACTTAGCTTGTATGATTTAAAATTATTCACAAATCACTAGTGTCAAATTGTATGAACTATTCAAAAAGTATAAGTGATTTGCTTTCATCCTATTATAAGTATAATTAGTGAAATAATTTTTATAATTAATGATTAGTTAAATAAATAAATAGCAAATAGAGAAAAAAGGTATGTATACACGGGCATATCTACATAGGATTAATAGGGCTTAAGCCCTGGGCCCACAAAAATTGAATTATTTTTGTTAATAATATTTCTTTATTTCTTAATTTGTTTTATATATAAGATGTAAAGTTTTTAATTCAACACCATTTCATAAATAAATATATTTCAACTCTGATTTTGATGTTATTAAAAATGAATTTTAAACTCCAATTTAAAGATCTTGATCTAACAAAAAAATGGGGCTCTATTGGACTTCAGTAAGTCCTAGGCCCTGAAAAATCTAGATCCACCCATGTATACAGAATTAAAATTCTCTTTATTATATTCTGTATATGAACAATGTGCAGAATTGAAACATTTTACATACACTTTCATTAATCAAAATCTTGGTCTTTATTTGCCTGAATATCTTGTTCTAAGGCAGCTAAATTGCTCTCGATTAAATCAAAACTGAGTAATGAAAGATTTAAAAATTTAATTTGATCATTCGCTGGAATATTCTCAAATGTCTCTTTATTGACTGTAACTGTTATAGGTAGATCATGCTTTGGTACGTTTTTCTCTTCTTTTACTTTGCTTAATTGTAATTTATAATGAGCACGTGACAAATCTAAGGCTGTATGTAACGGCTTTAAGAAGTTTTCTTCTAAATTTTTCATGAAGGACCAGATTTGCGACACTTTTGTTATGTCTTTGCGAAGAGTTAAGTAACGTAAGACATTTATACTCTCTAAAATTATGTCAGAATATTCTAATAGATCTGTTTCTACTTTATTCGGTAGCTTAGTTGCTATGTTTAAAAACTTTATCAAATTTTTACCTATAAATTCATTTTCATTTAACTCTAGAGACCTGCACATATATATCTTGTAAGTGTTTATTATCAATCCTCGCACTTTTGCTTGTCGCTGGGAGCAGAATTGTGAATAGAGCAAATTATATACTGCTTTTGAATCTAATTTATTTAGATATTGAAGAAACAGATTGCGAGCCTGATAATGTAATTCCTTAATTGGACAATATAAAACAACTTGAAATAATGAATTCAGAAAGGTAGAAAATTCCGGAATATCTAAATACTCGTGGTTGAATGTTCTATCTTCCAAAATCGAAATTAATCTTTCTGCCAGATGAATTCCTTTATAAACAACACAGTTACTTTGCCTAGAAAGTAATGCCACGATATATATTAAATGTCTTTCAAAATTGTAGGAATGTGTAAATACCTGTGGTATGCAGTCAATTCCAAGATTCTCTACAAACACTAAATATGCTAAATTTCCAATAGATAAGTCTGGAGAATATTCATTTCTTTTAATAATATCTTCACTCTGGTCATCTAATAAATTGTATAACAAAAAGAAATTCCCCTGTAACTGAGTGAGACAATTTATAAGCCTTTCACTACACACTCGAGAAGTAGACTTTCCCTTCTTATCATAACTGAGATCCAAATAAACTAAAGGATAAGCCAGTAATTCTAATAAATATTTACATAAAATGCTTCTCTGATGTAATATTCTATCGAAATAGTGCATCTCACAATTTCTACAATTTTCTAATGATACTTCTTTCACAAAAGGATCGAAAAATGGCAAATATGCTCGCATNTTAAATTATTTTGAGTTGATATTAAAATTTGGAAAAGGGGGATATTTAGATTGGTAAAATAAAATAGGTAAAAAAAAAAATCGAATTTTATCCTACAACTTCGGTAGTTGTTTGGGGTACAGTTAAGGTTTTAACGAAGTTCGAGCGAATACATAATTAGCAAAAAACAAAAAATTGAAATAAAGTGATTAAACAAAAATTATTACAAATATCGTAAATAACAGTTCACAAATGCATATATAGAAATATTTTTTGCAGTGGGAGAAATGATCTTCACAATTTAAAATCGATCGAACACACAGTGATATGCTCATATAAACGCGCGCCATCTATCATAGGATAAATATACTATGCCAGAAACCTTCGCGGGAGTATATTAAACAGCTTCCCAAAGTTTCATGGCAATCGTATAAAAGAGGTGATAATGCATGAAGGACATACAGACAGGCATACATTCATTTTTATATATATAGATGATCTGTTTAGCGCCCTCTATTATGTAGTAGCATAATCACTGGTTACATTATAACAGAAATCGCCGGAAATGTACTCTTTTAATTATTCACACTGTGAATGAATAAAAAATATTAGAAATCCAAAAATGAGTGACCAAAAGTACGATAGTGGTGGTGAAGGCTCTAGTACCGGTGTTACTAAAAAAAGAAATATAAACAATTCTACAAACACGAGTGGGAAGCCCTAGCAAAGTTCAAAGGGTGGTTAATCCAAAGTAAAAAAGGGCGACAATTTATACTTTGCAAGCCTTGTAGCAAAGACATAATTATTTCAAGTGGAAAAGACGCTTTACTTAAACATAGTGTCGGGAAATTTCATATAAAAAAAGTGAAGACAATCTCAAGCAGTGGGGTGCCGTCATTAAAAGCGGTGGAAGCGCCGCTTCTCTTGTATTTTCTAAAAAATACATACATATTAATTTTAATTATATGAAAATAATCGCACAAAATTTTATTATAACCNTAAAAAATTTATACATTGTCTTTTTATTTTGAATTACATAAAATATTTTTATATTAAATAATTAATAGTATGAAACTCAAGGAAGACTTACATATCAAAGACAAAAGTGCTATTTTAATTGACTTTTCTGAACTATTTTTGGAGTTTAACATGCTATTATATGTATTATTTTATGCTAAATGCAAGTTTCTATTGTATCTTTGAAAAGATTTTTCCTGTTTTCATACATTTTTTAAAACTTTTTATTTATTCTTTAAATACTAATATAACTTTTTATACACCATAAATAAATAAATAAGCAGACTATAGATTATTACAAATTTTTCTTAATAATTATTTCATTATTTCTCCCTGCTATTTTAAATAATTCTACAGTAATAATGTAATCATTGAATTTAAATCATTTTTCAGTATTAAAATTAGAAAGATAGCAGAAATAAATAAAAATCAAGAAAAAATGTTTAAATAGAAATAATCATTTACAAAGGTAAATCTTTGGGAGATTCTTTCAAGATAAATCATCTTGCTAGAATAAATAAAAGCAGTTATAAAGTGTGGAAAGTAAAGAAAACACTTAAATCAAAAAATTATAAAGCAGTTTTTTTTTGATAGAACATCAAAAATTAGATTTAAATGTCATAACTTGAAATGAAATGTTTACAAATTACTTTTAAATGTCGAAACTTCCATTGAAAATCTAGACGGAGGAAAAGTATTTACTTTATACTCTCGCTTCTTTTACTTGGCTTTTTAATAGTTTTCCAACTTTTGAATGATAACTCAAACAAGATGTTTGTTGCATATAAATTTTGACATTAAACATAGTTTTTGAAGTTCAAATAAAATTGGTCTTATAATTTCTTAGTTTTAATGTTTTCAGATATGTAGAATAGTTGGAAGAAAATAGAACAGAAAAACTGTTTCAAGTCCAAAATTAAATATGAAGAGATAAAGAGAAAAATCAAATGTATTATTTTTGTTTCATATAGTATACATGGTTTCTCAAAAATGTGGAAAATGAATCCCTATTATTTTTAGAATGCAGAAAAATTGGATTTGACTATTAAAAGGTAACTAAATGAAATTACAAAAATCAATAAACAATGCTAAACAAGAAAAATTCAAACTTAATGATATACATCATCATAACATGAATACATATTTAAAGGAAATTATGAGAATGCATGAAAGAAACAAGGAACAATATTGGGTATAGTAGTTTTCAAATGCAATATTCCTGGTATACAAAGTGATTTGAAGAAATCATGCAAGAGATATTGAATTGAGATATATATGAAGAATATAGATGTATTAGAAGAATAATGAATCTAAGAATAAAAATAGATGATAAAGGATGATAATTGTTAGTGTTTTTGTTAAACTAGCATCATTTTCTGTAAGGAAGCATAATTCATTCATTTTGAACTAAGAATGATGATTGAAGATTTATATTTATTAAAGGAGCATTTTATGGGTCCAAGATTCAGAAATTAAAACAAGAGTAATTGAATCTATTGTAGACTCACTACAATATTTATCAAAGTGAAATACCCAATCTTAAGGCATGTTCGTTGTCTTAAAATTACGTACAATTTGACATAATTTTTATATTTAATCATTGCAAAAATATAATTAATAATCTATCAATTTAATGATATGTCAGAAAAGTATAGAGACAATTATTATCATTCATCAATGGAAAGATTCACCAATAAATTGAATAACAAGTGTCATTTACTCAGTATCTACTGAGTAAATAATAATTGTAAAAGTATTACATTTAAAATCATGAATTATATTACACTTAAATGAAGTTAAAACTTTTCTCATTACATTGAATATACAGGGTGTCCAAAAAGTTATTGTGCAGCAAGAAATTTGTAATGACATTAATCATTACAAATTTTTTACTGTGCAGTAACTTTTCAGACATCATGTATAACTTCATACAGATATTACTTAGCTTGTATGATTTAAAATTATTCACAAATCACTAGTGTCAAATTGTATGAACTATTCAAAAAGTATAAGTGATTTGCTTTCATCCTATTATAAGTATAATTAGTGAAATAATTTTTATAATTAATGATTAGTTAAATAAATAAATAGCAAATAGAGAAAAAAGGTATGTATACACGGGCATATCTACATAGGATTAATAGGGCTTAAGCCCTGGGCCCACAAAAATTGAATTATTTTTGTTAATAATATTTCTTTATTTCTTAATTTGTTTTATATATAAGATGTAAAGTTTTTAATTCAACACCATTTCATAAATAAATATATTTCAACTCTGATTTTGATGTTATTAAAAATGAATTTTAAACTCCAATTTAAAGATCTTGATCTAACAAAAAAATGGGGCTCTATTGGACTTCAGTAAGTCCTAGGCCCTGAAAAATCTAGATCCACCCATGTATACAGAATTAAAATTCTCTTTATTATATTCTGTATATGAACAATGTGCAGAATTGAAACATTTTACATACACTTTCATTAATCAAAATCTTGGTCTTTATTTGCCTGAATATCTTGTTCTAAGGCAGCTAAATTGCTCTCGATTAAATCAAAACTGAGTAATGAAAGATTTAAAAATTTAATTTGATCATTCGCTGGAATATTCTCAAATGTCTCTTTATTGACTGTAACTGTTATAGGTGGATCATGCTTTGGTACGTTTTTCTCTTCTTTTACTTTGCTTAATTGTAATTTATAATGAGCACGTGACAAATCTAAGGCTGTATGTAACGGCTTTAAGAAGTTTTCTTCTAAATTTTTCATGAAGGACCAGATTTGCGACACTTTTGTTATGTCTTTGCGAAGAGTTAAGTAACGTAAGACATTTATACTCTCTAAAATTATGTCAGAATATTCTAATAGATCTGTTTCTACTTTATTCGGTAGCTTAGTTGCTATGTTTAAAAACTTTATCAAATTTTTACCTATAAATTCATTTTCATTTAACTCTAGAGACCTGCACATATATATCTTGTAAGTGTTTATTATCAATCCTCGCACTTTTGCTTGTCGCTGGGAGCAGAATTGTGAATAGAGCAAATTATATACTGCTTTTGAATCTAATTTATTTAGATATTGAAGAAACAGATTGCGAGCCTGATAATGTAATTCCTTAATTGGACAATATAAAACAACTTGAAATAATGAATTCAGAAAGGTAGAAAATTCCGGAATATCTAAATACTCGTGGTTGAATGTTCTATCTTCCAAAATCGAAATTAATCTTTCTGCCAGATGAATTCCTTTATAAACAACACAGTTACTTTGCCTAGAAAGTAATGCCACGATATATATTAAATGTCTTTCAAAATTGTAGGAATGTGTAAATACCTGTGGTATGCAGTCAATTCCAAGATTCTCTACAAACACTAAATATGCTAAATTTCCAATAGATAAGTCTGGAGAATATTCATTTCTTTTAATAATATCTTCACTCTGGTCATCTAATAAATTGTATAACAAAAAGAAATTCCCCTGTAACTGAGTGAGACAATTTATAAGCCTTTCACTACACACTCGAGAAGTAGACTTTCCCTTCTTATCATAACTGAGATCCAAATAAACTAAAGGATAAGCCAGTAATTCTAATAAATATTTACATAAAATGCTTCTCTGATGTAATATTCTATCGAAATAGTGCATCTCACAATTTCTACAATTTTCTAATGATACTTCTTTCACAAAAGGATCGAAAAATGGCAAATATGCTCGCATTACATCATTTATTCGGCACACATTTTCATCTAGATCCATTAATTTCCTTTCTTCCCCTTCCAAGTTGTGTTCTTCGGGTGGTGGCAATGAATCAACATATTTGTGAAGTATCCGTAAAGTACCTTCTAAGGATTTTCCTCTTTTATTTGGTAAATTGCAAAGAACGGTTTGCAATGGCATGAGAAGGGATTTAAAATATGTATTGTCAATTATATCATCAGAATTTTCTAAAAATCCAATAAGAATTTCTTTGGAATTTGCTACTTTAGCAAAATGCATTAATATTTCATGACAGTGATGTATATTATCTTCTGAATCTCTGCACCATCGTAATACCTCGGGTAATAAATCCCAAGCATGTTCTTTGACTTTCTCCTCATTATTTTTTTCTTTAATAATTAATAAACTCTCTTCAAATTTTTTATCTTGAAGAAGAATTGTCAATTTTTGCAGGAATTCAGAAGAATCGTTGGTCATTATGCTTATAACTAAATATTCTACAAAAGAAAAAAAAAAACAATATTAATTTTTGAAAAGAAATTAAATCATATAATAAATGTCTAAATTAATAATTGAGATTGAAACTTTTTTTGAAGGTATACATTTCAATAAAGTTTTATAATATACTTTATCAAGATAATTAAAAATCTATAACCTTTTTTAACTCTCAGGTATTCCCAAATATTATCAAAACAAAGTATTGGTCTTGTACAGTAATAGCTAGGATCCTAAATCTTGTACAATATCAAGTATTGTGATATACAAACTTTACATTATACAGTATAAACTAACACAAAAAAATTGGAAGTCCATACTTGTCTAGAACATCACAAGAATCTAAAATCATCACCATGTACCAAATGAGCAATGCAAATATAATTACTGAAGCTCTCAGCCTGTAATTTTAAAATTTCCAGTATCATAGCCAGTATTTCGCCAAAAACCTGACAGCCAAAATTTTTATGGAAATTTCAACAATTTTGACAATTTTTATGGGATTATCTAATATAAGGTGTAGAGAAATGTTAATCTTATCATTTCTGTACACCTATTTTGTATCTTTATTCATTTTACACTTGTACTAATGGAGTAGGGTAAAACAGCAATTCCTAAAATGTAGGGTTACCAATTCACAATTGGATGCATATACATTTTTTTCATAATTACTATTCTGCTTTAAAAAATTGTTAATCAATTGAGTATTGCCTATCAGAATCAATGAAAAGAAGACGTTAGTGAATTTTGTAAGTGCTTATTCATTCTAATATATGAAAGAAAACAAATTATCTAAAAAAAACAACAATTATAAGATAAGAAGCTAAAAATTAGCAATATTTGCCATATATAATCAGTCACTTTTATAATAAAAGTGAACAATTATAAAAAAAAAACAAAATAAATTGCAGAATTTTTTATTGGATTTCCACATAATGAACTTAATGGTGAATATCTATAATTTTGTATAATTTGCAGAAAAACCTTTGCTGGTTTCAAGGTCTTAAAGACATTTGGAAACAAATCAGCCAATGTATGTTGAAAAAGATATGTTTTTCAAAAATGAATTGACCAACTCTCTTAAAACGTTTGAAAAATTAGTATTAAAACAGAGTATAAAACTAAACAATCCTTTACAACATTATTTCTGTTTTAATAATAAAAAACTGATAACTGTAAGCATTGGCAAAAAAAAGCAGACAAATGACAAATACAGCAGACATCACCCTCAAAAGAGCTAATTGCCCACATAAAAAGCAGATAGTTGAGAACTCTGAATTACTAATTAGAAAATTTCATAATGTATAATGTACAATTACATATCAAATTACAGGGCAATTCATATAAACCCAAATTGAAATTATTTTATTATAAATCTTGAATGAAGTGATGAGATTTTCAGGAAGTGTACATTCATTTATGTCAAATGTATCACATCACATCAAGTATTGGAAGTGGCCACCACTTTTGGTCAGGCACATGTCAACATGTCACTGCATATTGTTGATAACATGTGTCAATGTTGCATCATCAATGTTTTGTATCTCATTCCTAATGTTATCCTCTAAGATATCAATCATGGAGAGTTTATTATGGTACACTTCTTTAGATAGCCCTACAAAAAGAAGTCCAGGCTGGTAATATTAAGTGACCATGGTGGCCAGATTCTTAGAGATGACACTCTGGAATTTTCACCTTTGACTCCTGTGATATGTGGAAAGATAGTCACTCCATCTTGCTGGAAGTAATTCTGTGTCAGTTCCACATTATCAAGTTATTCAATAAATTCTGTAAAAATCTGCACTTGTGCAGTGGCTTTCAGAGTTTCTCTAAAGAGAAAGGGATCAACGATCCCCACACTAGATATGCCATGTCAAACTCCCACTTTCTCAGTAGATTATCAGTAGCCCAAATCCTGGAATTTTGTGAGTGTGTAAATCCTGACAAACAAAATCATGCTTTATTTGTAAACCACATGAAATCAAGTATTCCAGACTTATTGTACCAGCTCCTGAAACTAAACAATATTGAACCCTAAATCTTAATAGCTATATGTAATTTGCTATAAATTTTAAGGACTTATCACATCAAGTTTTCAATGGGAAAGATCTGATAAAATCTCAGTGAGCTTTCCAACTGAAAACTGTAGTGTGACAAGTCCTTAAAATTTATAGCAAATTACATATAGCTACTAAGAAGATTTATTGCAATACAGGACAAAAAGCAAATAACTATAATATTGAACCCTCTTCTCTTTATCATGTTCTGCAACTGATGTACTGATGTTACTCTGTACTTTATGCATTCTTTGCTGTCAGCTGACATATTAAGTAAGAGCGTCCTATCTGCCTTGAAAGCAATCATAAAGATTTTTAAAGGCAACTGTTCCAGTCTAGCAGGAACATTCAAAACCTTAGCTTCTGGCATCGGTGGCCAATGTTTGCTTTGTTCATCAAGAAGGGACCTTGTCATTTTCAGTTTTCATACAAAATCATGTACAGAAAGAACACGCTTAACACTGATTCAATATAACATGGTCTGCTCGAAGCCTAAAAAAAAGCTCAAAATTTATGCAGATTTAAATTATCACGGAATTTCATTGATTCGTATATAATATGATTATTTGCAAACACAAACCATCAGCAAAAGGTGGCAAAAAAGTATACTTTCTTTAAATCTATGTTTGTTTGGTGCAATTTTGGAAAAAATATAACATTATGGATGCCATAGGAAATAGCTACTTAGCTTGGCAAGAATTAACTGATAAATGCACGAACGAAGTGTGGAAGAAGTTATGGCTGAAGGTATCCAAGAATTCTCAATGAAAAGAGCCTATCGCTGTATCATTAAGTTGACCAAACTCAACCTAATCAATATAGCAGGACTAGGAGATATAGAAGAGCAGGATATTGAGGAGTTACAACAGGTTTCTGGTGAGAGCCTTACCAACGAAAACCTTCAAGAACTGGCAGAACATGGGATTCATGTGGAACTGGAAAATAGAGATTCTGAAAACGAAGAACCCAAAAAATTTCTCCACACATTTCCTTAGTAAAAGTTTGGTAATATAGGTAACCCCCCTATAACACAGCACTTCTATAGCACGGATTCACTCTAACACGGCTCGAGAATTGGGAACATCCTTGTATAACACGGTGCTTTTATAGCACGGGTTCACTCTAACACAGTTTGGGAATTGGGTAAAACCCTCATACAACATGAAATGTAATAAAGGGTGCGTTCTTTTATACCTCTGCGTAACTCCGCACGAGCATTCTAATTGTTTTTGTAGCTACTTTGAATGCTCTTTCAACAAATAATCCATTTAATGATTAAATTTTTCACTTGGGACCCTTCTTTTGCCTCTAAAAGCTCATTTTAGAATTATAGATTCTTCCATCACGATATTATCGATAGTGCGGGCACCACCATCTTTCTTTCACCATCATTCCTAAATGCCTACAAACAGCAACGCACTCCCATTGCACAGCGACCGCTATTAATGAATGCACCCAAAAACTGTTACCAGTCGATGCTCATGCTGAGATCATCATATAGGATGAATAATCCTCTGGTAAAATATTTACTTAAATAATAAATAAGTATGTTTTTGTAAATCGTCCGATGGAGATAATATGATTAATTCTTTTGAAGACAAAGTCCTTTCCAAAAAATAGGAACCACCATTTATTAACTTTGTGTTCCAGACATTACACTTTTGGCAACTGACCTTTTCTTTTAGGCTACTGGCTGCCAAACAGTCCTTTAAAAAACAAATATATCCAGTTAAAAATATAAACATTTTTAAAAAACAGGAACTGGTGATGTTCAGGCATCTATTTTCCATCATACCTTGCTGGGGTTGTTCCTCATCTACATTTTACCAGCACTTACTTCATTGTAGATAAAAGCCAAAACAACCCCAGCAAGGTATGATGGAAAACAGAAGACGTCCAAACATCACCAGTTCCTGTATTTTAAAAATGTTTATATTTTTAACTGGATATATTTGTGTTTTTTAAAGGACTGTTTGAAGGCCAGTAGCCTAAAAGAAAAGGTCAGTCGCCAAAAGTGTAATATCTGAAACACAAAGTTAATAAATGGTAATTCCTATTTTTTGGAAAGGACTTTGTCTTCAAAAGAATTAATAAATAAGTATTTTACCTATGAAAAAAATGAATAATAAATCCAATGTAAATAAGGATTTAACAGCATGTTTTTTAATTTTTGGAATCTAACCCCCCTTTTCGCACTAGTTCTTTGTTTCGTATAACATAGATTCACATAACATGGCAATTTTTTGGAACATAACTCCCGTGTCATACGGGGGTTATTTGTATAACCAAAATCATTGATCAAATTGTAGTGAATGATCTAGATTTTGAAAGGAGTGCAAAAGCAAAATGAGGCATTTTGGATGCGATCTTCTGCTACCAACATTTGCTTAAGGAAAGAAAAAAACGATAAATGAAACTTTATGACTTTATTGCAAAAGAACAAGAATTTCAGAAAAGTCAGGACCTTCATCACAAAATATGAACTTTACATTTCTGTGTGCATATGTTTATGTGTTATTTAACATATATTATTATACANAACAAGAATTTCAGAAAAGTCAGGACCTTCATCACAAAATATGAACTTTACATTTCTGTGTGCATATGTTTATGTGTTATTTAACATATATTATTATACAAATTAATATAAAGATAACTTAAAATTAAAGTAAAATTTGTTTATTTTTGGTTACGTATTCCCCTATCCCTATTTACTCTATGTTAAAATGACCTCGTTTAACACTGTTTTGCTTAGTGCTTTGTTGTCTAGGAATGCATCCAGTGTTAAGTGTGGTCTTACTGTATTATTGATTTGCCTGACGTGCCACACACCATAAATTCTCTCAAAATGCTGTGGTCTTTTGAGAAACAAGTCAATAACCCAATACGTTTGCACAATAAATGCACTCTTCCAAAAAGTATACAATTTTGTTTTACACTATTCATTTTTGTGCTTCTGCTGCTGTCTAGCAGCCAGTTACAGACTGTGTTCAAAATAAGCAGAGGTAAACTTCCTGAAAATCTCATCAATTTCCATTCGTTAATATTTATAATAATAAATTTTGGTTTGGTTCTAAATATATAAAATATTATAATTCATAACAAATACCATAAATGTTCAATTAGTAAAATATAAACGAAAAACCTCTAAGCTAAAAGAAAATATATTAATTAAAGCAATTGATTCTAACTGGAGATAAATCTTAGCTTAATTCTGAGATTGAAGAATGAAATATCTGTTTATAATCAAAAGAACATTTTAACTAAATTCAATTTGAAATTTCGAATACAAAAATGTAAATTTCATTTACAAATTCTGATATTGTTTTGCGCCAAAAAAAAATCCAACTGACGTAAACGATTTTATTTATGCTCGTTTATAAATGTACAGGGATCTGATAAGCAGACATAAACTCAACGGAACAAGTTTAAAATTTCTTCTAAAATAATAACATTTGTAAAATGTAAACAAACCTCTTAACTTCACAATCACGTGGCTCTTCCTCGCTTCAGTCGTTTGCTTTCAGATGGCGCCACTCGAAAACAGTTGCTGTTGCCAGCTGACAATTATAAAATATTTTTTAATGAATCTTGTTATATTTAAAATTTCTTTCTGACCGAAGTGGTTAAGGCGTCAGACTACTGCTCCGAGGGACCCGAAATCGAATCCGGGCGAATAATCCCAGGAATTTTTCAAGGCGGCATGCCCCGAATATGTCGGGATTGTAGGATTAATAGGATAAGACAACGCAATACGTGGCGATCTGCCAAATTGTCCTTCGAGAGAACTATTTATTAGAAATTATCCTCTGTTTAAGTGTTAGACACGAAGAAAACCTGGAAAACTCACTTGGCCATCCCGTTGGTGACATACGAACCCGCGACTAACTACCAATGTTCACTGTTTTTATCTACTCGGCACTCAGTGTTGCCGCGTCTACCGAATTTTCGGTAGATCTACCGATCTCGGATCCGGTCTACCGATCTACCGATTGAACCACCAAATATACCGAAAAGTTGACGATAATTCAAGAAATATATTTTTATTATCAATGTATCTAAAAATTCTCAATAAAACATTTCTTTGTACAGTACCTTCGTTTCTTATACAGTATATTGTAAAAGACTTTATTGCAATACAAAGTTATTTCTGACTAGCTTACCGTCGCGCATTGCTGCGATCTCAGAAGGAAGGAAATTCAAGCAAACTCATTATGATAAAATTCAATTTACATTTTATCATTTTTATTGAAACTTATTATTCATTTTCATCGGGAAAACATTTCAAAGTGTCGTTTCAATTCTATTTATTTATTGGAGTGTTTGTGGATACACGATATTTTTTGTTTTTCCCTCTGGTGTGTACACGAATAAATCGGAAGGTTTTTCGACGCGTGAGCCGGCCACATACAGTTGTCCATGCGAGAAGCACGGATTCTCCAAATTTAGCCCATACACTCGCAGCGATTGTCAGAAGTGCGATATTCCCCATTTTTATATATATATATTTTAATCCTTTATAATTTTAATTATTTAGTTGCTCCTTTCTCTCTTCATTGGAATGTTGTGAAATTTCTGATAGTTGGATAATAAACCGTTTTATTGTAATTTGTCTTTTTAAATTATTTTGAGTTGATATTAAAATTTGGAAAAGGGGGATATTTAGATTGGTAAAATAAAATAGGTAAAAAAAAATCGAATTTTATCCTACAACTTCGGTAGTTGTTTGGGGTACAGTTAAGGTTTTAACGAAGTTCGAGCGAATACATAATTAGCAAAAAACAAAAAATTGAAATAAAGTGATTAAACAAAAATTATTACAAATATCGTAAATAACAGTTCACAAATGCATATATAGAAATATTTTTTGCAGTGGGAGAAATGATCTTCACAATTTAAAATCGATCGAACACACAGTGATATGCTCATATAAACGCGCGCCATCTATCGTAGGATAAATATACTATGCCAGAAACCTTCGCGGGAGTATATTAAACAGCTTCCCAAAGTTTCATGGCAATCGTATAAAAGAGGTGATAATGCATGAAGGACATACAGACAGGCATACATTCATTTTTATATATATAGATGATCTGTTTAGCGCCCTCTATTAAGTAGTAGCATAATCACTGGTTACATTATAACAGAAATCGCCGGAAATGTACTCTTTTAATTATTCACACTGTGAATGAATAAAAAATATTAGAAATCCAAAAATGAGTGACCAAAAGTACGATAGTGGTGGTGAAGGCTCTAGTACCGGTGTTACTAAAAAAAGAAATATAAACAATTCTACAAACACGAGTGGGAAGCCCTAGCAAAGTTCAAAGGGTGGTTAATCCAAAGTAAAAAAGGGCGACAATTTATACTTTGCAAGCCTTGTAGCAAAGACATAATTATTTCAAGTGGAAAAGACGCTTTACTTAAACATAGTGTCGGGAAATTTCATATAAAAAAAGTGAAGACAATCTCAAGCAGTGGGGTGCCGTCATTAAAAGCGGTGGAAGCGCCGCTTCTCTTGTATTTTCTAAAAAATACATACATATTAATTTTAATTATATGAAAATAATCGCACAAAATTTTATTATAACCACATTATGTATCTTATTACAAATTTCTATACTACACGTGAAAAAAAAAGATTACTATTGTATATTCGAATATTAGTGGCGGTGTGGAATCTCTGTGTTGTCAGATTCCAAAACACCAGATTTGCGCATGCGCTTTACGGAGCACCAACCTCACCCGGTTTAGCCGGTGGAAGCCTACGACCTTGGGTTGATGCTACACATATAATGCTTCCAATTCTATCCGGGACCGGTTCTGGGCTGTTAGCCACCCGCCCGCTAGATATTTGGCCGATTACGTGAATAACGAGTAGATTTATAAAAAATATAATTTCTAAAAATAAAAGATTATCTTTAGATAAGATAAACGAGTAAAATGAACACTCTTTCTTAAACCGATTTCGAGCAATTTATATTAGCAGACAAATAATTAACAAAGATACTATACTTCAGTCTTGTTAAATTAAGGGCTTCTGATGCAACTACCTTATATAATCACATTGCTGAAATCTTTAACCACAATAATATTCGTTACAAAAACAATTTGATAGGGTTTGCATCCGATGGAGCTAATGTTATGATGGGAAGTCACCATTCTTTGATGACACTATTAAAAAATGATATACCTAACTTATATATTATAAAATGTATATGCCATTCGTTTCACTTGTGCGCATCACATGCGTGTCACAAATTACTTTGGTACGTCGAAGATCTCTGCGCGATATTTACAATTATTTTAATTCTAGCCCAAAAAGAGTTTGTGAATTCAGCAATTTCAGCAATTTTGCAAATATAAAGACCCACAAAATTCTACATCCATCGCAAACCAGATGGCTTTCAGTTCATGGTGTGGTAATTTGAATCTTAGAACAGTACGCTGATCTAAAACTATATTTTACTGGTGCTGTCAACAGTAATGATGTCCTTGCTGCAAATAATATACTGCAGAAATTGAATGATCCAGTTTCAAAATTATTTCTAGAATTTTTAGATTATGTGTTGCCTCTATTCAATATTTTAAATATAGAAATGCAATCCGAGTCCCCAAAATTGCATGTTTTGTATGATAATGTTTGCCTCGTTTTGAAAACAATTTATGATTGCTTCCTTCAAAGAAATAATATAATCACTCCAATCGAAAATATTGATTTTAAAAATCCAAGAAATTATTTAGCTATAGCAGAGTCGGTAGATTAACTGGTCTTTCGACTTCCTATCCTCGCTCGTTGCTAAAATCAACTAGAGACAAATGATACCACCAGGGGCACTGCAATCACTGCAAGAGCGCTAGATCGAATGTTTTCTTTTTATTGAAAGATATATAACCTTCGAGTTCGATTTCATAATTTTTTATATGCATTTTATTATAAGAATGAAAAAGCTTTTATTTAAACCCAAAACCAGGTTTATGGATAAATAAATGACACTTAATAAAACATTAAACACCTTCAATCGCTGAGAAATGTTTATTTAATAAAATACGTTCAAACTCATTTACACCCGAGGATGGTTTATTCCATGAGGCTGAAAATGTTAGTGTTTTATTAAATAAACATTTCTCAGCGATGGAAGGTGTTTAATGTTTTATTAAGTGTTTTAAAAATGCTATTATGTGAATTTATTATACGTTAAAACTTTATTATACATACAAACAAATTATATTATACATATTAATAATAATAATTATTATTATTATTTGCGTTATTAAAATTTACTTTAAGTGAGAAATTTTTCTGTTTTTTACTTTCAACTGATGAAATAAATGATTGATTAATCGTTCGCGTGAAAAAATGCAATCGACAAGTAACAAAAAAGTGCAAAAATCTGGAAGTCAAGTAGGACTTGTGACCAGCATTGTCACATCCTATCATCAATGTAACAGAGCACTGATTTAATATATTATCCATTATTGAAAAATAAACATCCATGTTTGGGTTTGTTAATTTTTCGCATACTTTGCTTTCTGCCCAGTACATCAATTGGCAAAGCTTATAGCTTGGATATAACAAACCTCCTCGAGATTTGATGAATGTAAATGTCTTCTCTGGTG